CCCAAGACCTATTGTAGGTCAATTCCAACCACGTTTTCTCCGTCCTCTATCCATTTCAACTCTGTTGCGTGACAATCCGGTTGCCTCCTCCCCACCACCTTCTGTACCTGACTTGGAAACAACTGTCCTAATTCTCTCTGTCCCGTAGCTCTTCCTTCCCACTCTCCTTGATGCCTGTGGCCCTGCAAACAAAGCTGCTTTTCATTGTTTTGTCTTCATCCCTCTACACCAGGAAAGAGCAATCTTGGCTTGCATGAGGTTAAAGAAGAAGAAGAAATGTGTGTGTACACACACACACACACACACACACAAACACACACACACACACACACACAAGGTTGTACAATGAAGTTTGCAAACTCATCCTAGAGAAAGTGCTACATACCTCATTGCTGAATATCACTACAGTTATCTTTGAAGTACTCCCCTTGGGAAGCTATGCACTGATGCCAGTGCCTAGTCCACCCTTAAAAGCAATTTTGGAACTCTTTTTCTGCAATGGCCATCAGAGCTCTCATTGTGTTACCCTTGATGTCCTGAATGTCATCAAAATGTCTTCCTTTCAATATTTCCTTTAACTTTGGGTAAAAAAAGAAGTCATTGGGGGTCAGATCAGGTGAGTAGGGAGGGTGTTCCAATACAGTTATTTGTTTACTGACTAAAAACTCCCTCACAGACAGTGCTGTGTGAGCTGGTGCATTGTCGTGATGCAAGAGCCATGAATTGTTGGTGAAAAGTTCAGGTTGTCTAGCTTTTTTATGCAGCCTTTTCAGCACTTCCAAATAGTAAACTTGGTTAACTGTCCAGTTGGTACAAATTCATAATGAATAATCTCTCTGATATCAAAAAAGGTTAGCAACATCATTGCAACAAGTTCGCGAACTTACAATTGTCAGACCTCGTGTGTGTGTGTGTGTGTGTGTGTGTGCGCGTGCATCACTTAAAAATATCCATCAATATCTATATCTATGTATACTCTATTTAATATAATAATAATCAGTTAGAAAATGGGCACTGCATTATGGCCTCTAAAATATAACATCACGACACAATTGCAGCATAACTAGCAACATGGAGGCAGCTTTCCGATCTTTCTTATTGAAATTATGCCAAGAGCTGCAGTTAGCCTCATTCTTGATTTCCCTTCAGAACATTAATCTCTAACATGGATTTAATTGCTACCTCTCTGTGAGGAATTTCCAGTATATCTTCCTAAACTGTAGACCCCTAGTTCCAACTTCCTGCTAGTGCCTCAAATTTAACCCACCCATCCAACAGAATTCATTATCTTTCTCCCCACTCTGCTTCCCTTTATGGTTCCCATCTCCCTAGGTTCAAAAATCTTCTATATAGAGGCAAAAAACATTATTTTGCAGTTGTACAGTGATAAACACAGTATCATTAGTGCTTTAAGAATGTTTTTAGAATATGAGACTATACACTTTTAATAAATATGGTAGTGAGTGGGGTAGTTTTTTTAAAGCAGCAACACTGAAATTATTGAGTCTACGTTTAAGTTTAGGAAAGCCAAATAAATAATGTTCTTTAAAAATGCTGCATGATAAATCTGATGCAATGTTAAAATAATTCTATGGGTTAGGAAGAATTATGTCTTTTTGTTATATTTTTAATGATGCAATAGCAATTGATGACACTAAACCTTTATTAAGAGTCTTCTAGGTATCAGAAATAAATAGTGGGACTTGCATTCTAAGATTTTACAGATGCTCTGGGGTTTCATTCATTAGCACATTAATAATAACAAAACAACAACAACAACAAAAAAAAACTTTGACCAATGAAGCAGCAACTGAAGTTATCAGTGAGGAAATAAAAGGAAAATGTTAGAGGGTTTTCATATTTTTAATAAAATTGCTCTATTGGCTTTAGAGTTTGTAAAATTCAAGGATATTCTATGACATCAAGTTTTACTTTGACAAAAGGAGATATAATAGAGTAATTCTAATATTTTCTACAAAAGTCTAACATAAAAAAATTAGATCTATCATATCTTATAATTTAAGAACCAATTAATAAGACAGAGTCCATAATAGAGTTAGAGTCCATAAAAGAGTAAGTTAGTAAGATAGAGTACATAGAAGACAGAGTCTATAAAGAGAATGTTGTTTTATATAGCGATATTCACTTTTTAAAAAATATACAGCTTTGCCACTACTTTTTTTAATCGTTTTCATACTCATCTCAAGATTGGTTTTGTTATCTTAAGGCTGCCTAAATTGAGATGTATGAGTAGTTGTCAGTGGTTTTAAACTTCAAGGTCTTTAAAAAGTCCATCATTGAGTCCCTAATTAGTTTGACATGAAAAACTACTTGAGCAAAAAGTAACATCTACATACATTATGTTAAAAAATGCACATAGAATCAATACAAAGAAGATGACAATAATGCTCTAGACTGGGAATACATGGACCTTTTAATTAATTCATTCAAACTGTATTTTTTTAAGGACCACTCTGGGAATGTTTAGGTGCCAGGAATTCAGCAGAGAACAAAGACAATAAACCCTGCTTTCATATAATTTACATTCTAAAAAGAGGAAAGATAAACAGAATAAATTCATAGATTGTATGGTATATTAGAAGTGATGCCCTAAATGTTAAGGAGAAAAATAAAGCAAGGGAAGGGTATATGGAGTAGGGGATTGTAATTAAAATTGGATTATCAGGGAAGGGCTCACAGGGCAAATGACACTTGCACCAAGACCTGAAGAGGGTGAGGGAAAGAGGACAGATATCTGGACGGCTATCTGACAAAAAGATGCATCTCGGCCAGGAAGCCAGTGAAGCAGGAGGAGGGAGAGAGGGAGATAAGCTGAGAGGGGTCACAGGAGACAGGTCCTTAGGATCTTAAAGGTTTTTGCCATAAAGCAATTGGAGGGGGAGGCAGAGAGAGTAGCAGATGATGGGAGTGTTTTAACAGGATCATTTAGACAGTAGCCTGACAGTAGCCTGTAGGGGTTCAAAGATGGAAGCAGGAAGAACAGTGAGAGACGACAGCAATAATCCAGGTGAGAGATGATGGTGGTGGACCAGGGTGGCACTTGCTGTGGACGGAAGTAGAATTCTGTATACGTTTTGAAGAAAGAGTGGCGGAATTTTCTACTGCCTACTGAGGAGAAAATATAGAGTCAAGAATGACTCTAAGTTATATTTTTTCAGGAATGGGAAAGGATGAGGCTGCTGCTTCTGGAGATGAGGAAGACAGGGCAAGCTGCAGGTTTGGACAGGAAGTTCAGGAGTTCAGATTTGAGGGAGTGGGTTTGAGATATTTATGAGCATCCAGGATGAGATGTCCATTTGGTCATTTCGTCCCCCATACTCCCTCTCTCCCTCTCTGATGACTGTAGGGGTTGTAACCTTCGCATCAGCCCTCCAGTAACTCCACTGGCTGAGCCTTGCACCCCATCAGGGACTGCTGTCCCTTAGAGCACGGGGCACATTGAATAATTTGTTTTACTTGGAGGGAGCCATTTTAGTAATTATTCCCAGGCAGATATTTGCCAGCTGTGGCCTTACAGTTGGATGTAGGGATGTGTTGTTCAAAGGAAAGTCTCCCCCTGCAGATACAAATGTGGGAATCTTTCATTAGGTTGAAGCTGGTGTGTAAAGCCATGAGTCAGCAGAGGAGTGCATGTAGAAAGTGTTAAAGAAAAAAACCCACAGGCCCCAAATGACGTCACCCTTGCTAAAAGCCCATGATACCAAACTGAGATTTAACATCTGATCTAATTGCAGTTTCAAACTCTCCCAGAAATGTAAACTTAATCAACCAGGATGGTCAGGCACCAGTAAGGGAATCTGCCACATAGGTCCTCTCCCCAATGCTAAAATGAGACGATCTACATAGTAAAAACCCTTCCCTTGCTCTTTCCCCAAAGATGTCCCAGCCCCCAAATAATCTTTTCTTTTCTTTGGCTAATAGCTCCCTTGCTCCACCCTTCTTCCTATAAAATCCTTCCATTTTGTAAACTGCCTCAGAGTGCCCTTCTAGTTGCTAGATGGAATGCTGCTACATTCATGAATGCTTAATAAAGCCAATTAAAGCTTCACATTTACTCGGTTGAATTTTGGTTCTTAACAAAAGAGATGTGTATAATTCTTAGCTCACAGGTTGGTGGTGGTTTTGTGAGGATAAAATTAAATGCATACATTATACACCTGGCACACAGAGCTTTACAAAGAGGGTTTCTATTTTTATTAATAAATCCATCTGCAGGAGCTTGTTCCTGGGCAACGTCCAGTCCAGACAAGAGGGCGCACATTTTGAAACAACGAAACATCCCAAAAAGAAGTTGAGGAAGAAGCAGGGACTGGAAGTGGCTGACATGATTGGCATTTATAGATGGATGTCTCTCAGTCCAGTCCTTTCATTTTACAGGCTGGAGACAGAGGCTTGGGAAGCTGAGCGCCCCTAACTGGCAGCCGAATGGAGCTTCCACTAGGTCTCCCGATTTCCCGGCACCGCACCCGCGATGCGCCGGGCCTACCTACCCGGCCGAGCTACCTCTCGAGCCCAAGACCCAGCCCGGCGCGTCACCGACGCACAGCAACCTCTCCCGCGTCATAGTTCTGGGAAGCGCCTGCCTCTAGCTGGCCGCGCTGCTGCTGCTGAGTGTCCATGGGATGGGGGCGCTGGACGCAGGCTGAGCCAGGGCTGGGTTTTGGCCAGCAGTAGAGTGAGAAGGAAAGGCGGTGGTGCTGGACTGGTTTTGCGCGCGGCGGCTGTGCGCACTTGGGCTCTTTAGGCGTGCAGGACACACGTGGAACCAGGAACACGGTGCACTGGGTCGCCGGTGACGGGCGGGGCTGGCCTTGGAAAATGTTGGTAAAGGAGGGCGCCCGAGTCTCGCCTGGACTGAGCCTGGCGCTGCAGCCCCGGGGCGGGGCTGAGAAAGTTGAGCATTAGTTGCGGAGGGCCGGGCTCTGCTAGGGAGCGCCTGCCAACTGGGACCGTAAAAGGCTGGAGCTGGTGGGGTAGGTGTGGCTCTGCCTGAGTGACCTGAGCCCCTGTCCCTGTCGCCGCTGTCGTCTCCCGCAGCTGCGGCCTCGCAGTCATGGGCGCCGTGTGGTCCGCCCTGCTGGTCGGAGGGGGTCTGGCCGGAGCGCTTTTTGTCTGGCTGCTGCGGGACACGGGAAAGAAGCGGGACGCGAAGCAGGAGAGGGACGCCTCTCTCGGTGAGGCTGTGGCTGCGGGAGGTGATCAGGGTGGCAGCGGAGGACTGATTACCAAGCCAGGTATTCTTCCTCCCCGCGTCCCGAGAGCAGATCTGCTAGAAAAAAAAACTTCAAGTTCACAGAGGTGGGGGGAGGGGGGGAGGGGAGGAATGCCACCTGGAGCCTTCCTAATGGCCCATTCCGGGCCGGCGAGCTTCCCCTCTGCGGGGCAGGACCCTCCGCACGCCCCTCAATTTCCCCAGTACACTCCAGGCAAGTTTCTTGAGCTCCACGGAGGCCCTGGAGATGCCCTGGTGGACCCAAGGGCCATTTCCCGCTGAGCCTCTGCCCCCAACTCCCGCCCCTGAGGACCTGCCCCTCCAGCGGGGATGGGCTCTCCGCCAGGCGGCGCATGGTGCAGTGCGGGCGGCTGCAGCGGCGGCACCCCTCTGGGGCTTTTGGAAAGGAGTGCTGAGGTTTAAGAGGACCCTACAACCCTCTTGAATCTCTGTCAGAGCAGGGACACTTCCTCAGTCCCAATCTCATAGCCTCATGTCCTCCTATCCCTCACCCCATCGAAGAGCTGGTTTTGGAGAACACCCAATCAGTGAGCACCTCCAGCTACATGGACGCTTCTGTCAGGAAGGCAAAGTTCAGGCTGGACTCTGGCCATGAAGGCCTCGGTTGAAGCCCTGGGGCTGTCCACTGGCCGCCCGTTTCAGATGTATTGGCCTTCCCCCATGCTCACTCTGAACAGCGCATGATGTCTCATCCGCAGGAAGGGATGTGCTTAATAAGGGTACTTAATAGGGGACCCCACTTCTATGTGTAGAATTGACATCTCGGTTTAAAATCTCTACATTTTAGAGACGGGTTGCTAGGCAAAGTAAGAGCACTGGCAGAAAACCGCACTTCCGGGCGCCCTCCCGTGGCAAGTGGCTCAGGCCTGGATCCAGCCTCCTGGTTGAAAATGACATCTGTGAACTTTATTTTTAGTGGAGTGTTCATTTGTAGCCACTTGAAAATCTGCCCCTGTGCATTTCTTGCGATTGGTTTGAGATGAGCAGAAAGATCATTTATCTGAAAGCCAGACTTATGTTTTAGGTTGAAAGATTGGGAATTCAGAGTAATATTTGTTTATGTCTCACTTCCAACCCCACCATTAAGGAGCTGAAACAAGACTCCTTCTCCCCCCACCCCTCAAAAAACTCATCAGTGTTCATTGTATGATTTTGGAGATTTTGATCTGATAGGAAGCTACGACTATCAATGAGGTGGCCAAGAAAGAAATGGAGTCTTTAGAAAGCTTGGATTGTTTTTTCTTAAGAACATTTTTTAAAGTGTACTGTGGGACGGCATGTAAGAAGTCTAGAGTTTGTGGAAGAGCTTCCTGATACACATAGGGTTGGCAAGGAAAAACCAGCCCTCTCCTGGCACCCTTGCCCCAACTCTTGCCCAGTGATGCACTGCTGTCTTTATTCTCCCACAGCGACAGCTGCTGCTGATCCGCCCACATCTGTGAGAGCCAATCTCTGGGCTGCAAGCAGTTTCTTAGAGCACAAGTATACTCTATTGGTTTGTAGGGTAGCTATGCAGCCAGTCACCCCACAGGCTGCATAACATTTTTTGATGATAGAAGCCAATGAACTTGACTTGATTACATGCCAAGTATGGCCCAGATTGTGGAGATGAAGGACCATGACAGGTTATTTCTGCCTCTACAACTCGCCACGTCATTGACACTCCTGGATGTGCCTTTTATTGTTGGATACACATGTATATACATGCATAGAGCACAGTACTGTTTCAGTTAGTGTTTGAACTAGGTAATTAAGTACTTGATTTTAATAGGGGTAGATTTTGTGAACTGCAGATGGATTAGTGATAAAAAGTCTTCAATAACTAAACCTATTTTCTCAGGCTTTTACTTTTTTTTTCTCATGAAAACTGCCTATTACATTTTGTATATTTTTTAGAGCATCTTCAAGAAAGCAATGGATGTTTGGTTTCAGAGACCAAAGTCCCTGGTAAAGTGCAGGAGGCAGCATGGAGAATGCAGAGCCCTCCTGGAGAAGATGGTGACTATGGCGAGTCCAGAAAGCATGCTCCTTTTGCATGGCTTCCAGACACAGAATCTCGAGCTCCATCTGCAACTGGTAACTCTGAAGTTTTAAGAAATGAAAGTTGTGAATCTCGTATAGGAGAGTGGGGATTCCAAAAAGGACAAGAGACACCTGCTCAAGCAGCTCCATGTTTTGCAGAGAAGTTGCCTTCTAGCAACCTGTTTATGGACAAAGCTAAAGAAGAAGGGAGCCTTGAAAGGTTGAATAGTCAGGACTCAGCTGACCAAGAAGACTGGGAAATGGTGTCCAGGCACTCGTCTTGGGGAGACATTGGTTTGGGTGGCAGTCTTGAGGCTCCAGTGTTAAGCCCAAACCAAGGCATGAACTATGGCGGAAGCACTCTTGTGGACACAAGAGGTCAGGAAGTGGATGTGAACACAAAGAGGGGAGCTGCAATGTCTTCAGAGTCTCAGCAAGTTAGTGTCAGGTTCCAGGTCCATTACATCACCAGCAAGGGTATGCAATTCATTGCAGTAACTGGAGACCATGAGCGGCTTGGGAGATGGAACACTTACATTCCTCTCCAGAAGAGCAAGGATGGGCTCTGGTCTCGTTCTGTGTCCCTGCCAGCAAATGTGGTGGTGGAATGGAAGTTTGTGGTGGTAGAGAATGGGGAAGTTACTCGCTGGGAAGAATGCAGCAATAGGTTACTAGAGACTGGCCACAAGGATAAAATGGTTCACAAGTGCTGGGGGATTCACTGATTCAGTTTGCAAAGGACTGAAGAGGCTGCTGCAGACTGTGGGAGAGGCTAAGGTTGTGGCGCACACTGAATAATTTAAAATAAAGGAAGTAGAACTCCAAATTTAGCCATCAGAGTTGTTTCAAATTTGCTAGTGGCTTTTGTCTAATGTGCAGATATATATGTAGATAATGCTTCCGGCAAGCATGGACTTATTTTCCTGTGGCGTCGATGGACGGATTTATGCTGATCCATCATTACTTTGGGGCTTCGCCCTCTTGGGGAGTGACTTGGTACAGCTTCGGGTGTGGCCTGGTCAGGGAGTATAAAAACTAACCAGCTGCACAGGGTTCAAGTTTGAGCCTTTGGGTGATCCTGAAACCAAGAGCATAAAACAAGCTGCCTTTAAAAAAAGCTGGTTTCCTATTGGTACAGCTGGAGAAACACTCTCTTTACTACATGTGCATTTTATGTTTAAAAATAGTTAACCTCATATGGGACTGTGATCAGAAAAGATCTGGTCACTAGATGTGATTAGCAAGGCTGGGAGGTAATACATTAAGACTTCCTGATGTTTTTGGCTTGGTTTTACCTGCCTGGTATGGTTTGAAGGTAGCCAGTATGTCTTTGTCTTGTGATCGAAGGCTGGTATAGAAACAAGGGGCCTAATCAGTCAGTCACTGGGAGCAGCCCATGAGCAAGGGGAACAGGAATGGCGTTAAGGTGTGGGCTGAGCCAGGTGGTCTGAACGATAGCTCTGAGAGAGCTGGGAGGTATAGATACATCTACCTGACTGCAGGAAGGGCACACCCATTATTTACTCCTGGGCCTTTGTAGGACCATCTCTACCCACCAGCCGGATGGACTCCAACAGACGAGCTGTCCCATAGCAATTGTTTCATCCTCTTCCCTCTCCTTTCATCCCAGTAGCTATCTTGGGTGACCAAATCGTAACAGGACAGTGATAGAGAAGTACATCTTTGCTCTGAGAAGAAATAAATACTTAAACTTTGCTATTATAACTGACAAAATAAAACCCAAGTTTTAATATCGTTATTAAATGTCTGGTGTCTCTAAATCTTAGTACCATTGTATCTTAGATATAAAATACTAGTGTTCTCCTCCACTAATAACAGATACAGAATAAAAGCAAACATTAGGAGGCAAGAAGTCTGTTTTTGTTTTCCCTTTGGAGACAAAGTTTTAAAATATTTCTTTTAAAACTAATTTTGGAAAGATATTATACATGCCTGTACTTGAAAATGAATTCTTATATGTTAAAACAATTTTTAATAAGCGTAACATTTTTAAAAAAATATTTTATTGGGGAATTGGAGAAGGGGAACAGTGTTGAGGAATTGGGGAAGGGGAACAGCCAAGTTGTTGTCCTTCAGTCTTAGCTGTGGAGGGCGCAGCTAGCTCAGTTCCAAGTTCAGTCGCCATTCAGCCTCCCATTGGCAGCTCCCAGCTGCTCAGCTCAAGGTGCCATGTTCAATCTTAGTTGCGGGCGGATATAGCCCACCATTCCATGCAAGAGTCGATCCGGCAACCTTGTTGTTAGGAGTATGTGCTCTCACCAGCTGAGCCATCCTGCCACCTGTTGGCAGCTAAGCGGCAGCTCAGCTTGGGTGCAGTGTCACTGGCCCATGTGGGAATCGAACTGGCGACCCTGTTGCTCAGAGCTTGTGCGCTTAACCAACTGAGCCACTCTGCCAAACCAAGCATAACATTTTTTGGTGAAACATTAATTTTGGTTTCAGATGATGGTCTTTGCTGAAAATAGCTTAAACCCAACTGAAGGTAGTGTTAGAAAGTGCTTAAAAGAACTATGTTTGATACTTTCTGACTCAGCATTTTTATGTAAAATTCACATATACTTCTCACATATTTCATAATGAATTTAATATTCTCCCAGTGAGGTCTTCAGAAGGCCTATTTAGTATTTCTACCCAGAAGGCCCAAGCAATTTTCTATTATGTAAAATTAAAGGTAAAAAGTTTACAATAAAAATCTTTTTAGAGTTCTATCACTAGCCTGATGCAATAAAAATCAGTAAAGCCAATTGATTTAAGAGAGATACATATAATACTAAACTTTATATATTTAAAAATTTGTCATTTAAAATTAAATGTTCTTTGAGTGCTAATACAGTCATTTAGAGGTGAAACATGAGGATTTTCTTGTGGGAGTCTGTATGTCCTTCTTAGTTTATTATCTGTACTGGTTAGGGCTACCTCTAGCTGCTGTCACAGACACCATGCATGGAAGAAGGCTGCAACAACAGTTATTTCTTATTAACACAAGTGGGTATTCCTGGCAAGTAGGGCAGTTCTTCCCCTTGCAGAGATTGTCTCCCAGGCTTCTTCTGTCCAGTGACCGTCTCCTAGGACCTCACTGTCCTCTGTAAGTCCATGGAAGAAGAAATAAAGTGAGGGGAAACCACAAATGCTTACTAAGACTTGGCCAGAAAGTGCCACATCCTGCTCTGTGCACACGCATTAGTGAGAACTGGTCAGGTGGCCACACCTAGATGGAGGTGGGGCTGGGAAACAGCCTTTAGCTGGGCAGCTGTTTCTCTGACATCTGTGCTATGCAATGGGAGTGCAGACTTCTTTGGGAAGCTAGCCTGCCACGTTGTCCCTATTGCCTTTGGCATAATTGAAACACTTTTGTGTATGTTCTTCTTATCTCGTTTTATTTGGTTCACATACTGTGGTATAACATGGTATAATAAATATATTTCATCTTTGTCCCAGGTTTCTGACACAGAGCTCCTCAAACCCTTGGAATTTCTTGAGAGATTGGAATGTCTTTTGTTATTCCTAATGAGGCCCTTTAGATCACACAAGTTAATGCTAATGAGGTGATTGGGGGGGGGGGAGTTGGCTCCCCCAGTGGAGCTGGTCACCACAAAGACCAAGTGATTAGAGGACTGGCACTCTCAGCCCCACTCACCAACCTCTGGGAAGAGGAAGAGGGTGAGATTAATCATATAAAACCTCTTGAATACAATCATGTGCTCGATAATGATGATTTGGTCAACGGTTGACCAAGGACTGCATAAGATTACAATGGAGCTGAAAAATTCCTATCATCTAGTAATGTGGTAGCTATCCTAACATTAGTTCAATGCATTACTTACATGTTTGTTGTGATGAGGGTGTGAACAAACCTACTGCACTGCCAGTCATACAAAAGTATAGCACATACAGTTATGTACAGTACATGGTATTTGATAATGATAATAAGCTATGTTACTAGCTTATGTATTCATATACTATATGTTCATTGTTATTTTAGAGTGTATTCTTTCTGCTTATAAAAAAAGTTTGCTGTAAAACAGTATGCTGTGTTACACTGGCAGCAGCCTCATCTCATGTTTACTGTGTCTCTTTATAGCATCATGTCCCCTTGTGCTTCATTTAATCTCGTGTTTTATCAATTGAGTGTAGTCTAAGTGTACAGTGTTTATAAAGTCTACCGTAGTGGACAGGAATGTCCTGGGCCTTCACATTCACTCGCCACTCACTCATTTCCAGTCCTGCAAACTCCACTCATGTAAGTGCTCTATACAGGTGTACCATTTTTTTATCTTTTATATAGTATTTTTTTTGTATTTTTCCTATACCTTTACTATGTTTAAAGACGTTTAGATACACAAATACTTGCCACTGTGTTACAGTTGCCTACAGTATTCAGTACAGTAACATGCTGCACAGACTTGTAAACCTAGGAGCAATAGGCTATAGCATATAGCTTAGGGGTGTAGTGGACTATGCCATCTAGGTGTGTGTAAGTGCACTCTATGATATTCACACAATGACAAAAATCACCTAATATCGCATTTCTCAGAACATGTCCCCATTGTTCAACAGTGAATGACTGTAATGAGATTTAATGAGCTTCGGGTGAACACATCATGGTGCTAAGAAGGTGGCACACTCTGAGAGCATGGAAGCTTCATGCACCTGAACACCATCCCTTGCCTTATGCATCTCTTACATTTGGCTGTTTCTCAGTTGTTTCCTTAATAATAAACCAGTCATAGGAACTAAAGCGCTTTCCTGAATTCCATGGTCCATTCTAGCAAATTACTGAAACTCAGGAGGAGGTTATGGGAACCCCCACTTTATAACCTGTCAATTAAAAAAGTACAAGCGGCCCGGGGCTTGTGATTAGCATCCAAAGAGGGGCAGTTTTGTGGGACTCAGCCCTTACATGTGTAGAATCTGACACTAACTCCAGATAATGTCAGGACTGAATTGACTAATAGGACACCCAGTTGGTGTCCACAGAATTGGTTATTGGTGTTAGAAAGCACTCGACATACAAAACCGTCTAATTTATTAACATCTAATTAAGGTAGACTGAATCCATTTAATCTGTAGAAGTTACCCACTGACTGAAAAATAACACATTTTTTCTTTCTTTATAGTTACTAATACGTAAAAAAGAAACTTTTTCAAAATTGTTGATTAGCGGTCCCAATGTTGTGTTATCTGATTATGTTCACTGATATTGACAGAACGGTGAGTTCAGGGTCACAAAAGGAATCCTTGTCAGTATGCTGGAATTTGTCTTTCTGTTCCAGGCATTATGTCATATCTTTCATTTTCATGTGAAAGTTTTTTGCTTTTTTTTAAGCTGGGGGGAAAACAAAACAAAACAAACAAACAAACAAAAGAAACAACTATTGCCTCAGCACCAGTAAACATAATAAAAAAACATAACTATATCAACAGGCCATTAGTAGCACAAATTAATACCTTATAAGTTATGAATACTTCCACATCTAGTTAGTACTGCTTGAAATTTTACTGTGACAGCATTCAAGAATAGTTTATTTCAAAATACAGTTTATAGGACAGGGTATCTTTTATTAAATTTTCACATAAAAAGAAAAAGTTCACAGGGCACTACTTATAAGTAATACCACAATTAATTGGGCATCATTCCTCCATAAATAGGCAAGCAATTTATCATTTTAGTAACATTTTTTCCTGGTCTTTCACTTTCTGTATCCTCTTTTCTTGATTTCTGATCATTGAAGACATTGCTGAAAATGTTGATAAAACAAAGTTAGAACAGCAACATTTACTCAGGCTTTAATTCTATTATGTGCATCTT